CTTTGGATCTCTTCTCTGATGCATGGGGTATACAGTAGTATGTTACTTAGTTCCCAAATACAACGGGAATTTTGCAGGTAACTTTTTACCGTTGATTTATTGATTGATTGATTTTTGAGATGGAGTTTCGCTCTTGTTATCCAGGCTGGAGTGCAATGGCGCGATCTCGGCTCACCGCAACCTCTGCCTCCTGGGTTCAGGCAATTCTCCTGCCTCAGCCTCCTGAGTAGCTGGGATTACAGGCACGCGCCACCATACCCAGCTAATTTTTTTGGTGTTTTTAGTAGAGACGGGGTTTCACCATGTTGACCAGGATGCTCTCGATCTCTTGACCTCGTGATCCGCCCGCCTCGGCCTCCCAAAGTGCTGGCATTACAGGCGTGAGCCACCGCACCCGGCCGAGAAAGCATTTTAAATGGTCTGTTTTCAAGGTATGATAAATCTAAGCAGTGGCAGCCAGCCTGTGACATGGCTCAAACCACATGGCTCATGCCCCTAGAAGGTCACGATAAGCCAACAGAATGTTGGGGGGCGGGTCAGCCCTTTTTATTTGAACTGTTGAGTTGCTTGAGTGTCTTACGTATTCCGGATATCGGTCCCTTGTAGGGTGAACACTCTGTAAATACTTTCTCCCATTCAAAGGCTGTCTCCTTATTCTGTTGATAATCCCCTTGCTGTTGTGAAGAAGCTTTTTGGTTTAATATCGTCCCATTTGTCCATTTTTTATGTCATCGCCTGTGCTTTTAAGGTCTTAGCTGTAACATCTCTGCCTAGACCAATGACCTTAAGTGTTTTCTTCTAGTAGTTTTATATTTTCAGGCCTCACTTTACCTCTTTAAAGCACCTTGAGTTGCCTTTTGTAGATGGTTGGAGGTAGGAGTTTAGTTTCATTCTTAGTATATGGATGCAATTTTCCAAGCACCATTTCTCGAAGAGGGTGTCCTTTCCCCACTGTGTGTTCTGGCACCTTTGTCAGAAATCAGTTGGCTGTAACTATGTGGATTTCTTTTTATTTTTTTGAGACGGAGTTTCGCTCTTGTTACCCAGGCTGGAGTGCGATGGCGCCATCTCGGCTCACCGCAACCTCCGCCTCCTGGGTTCAGGCAATTCTCCTGCCTCAGCCTCCTGAGTAGCTGGGATTACAGGCACGCGCCACCGTGCCCAGCTAATTTTTTGTGTTTTTAGTAGAGACGGGGTTTCACCATGTTGACCAGGATGGTCTCAATCTCTTGACCTCATGATCCACCTGCCTCAGCCTCCCAAAGTGCTGGGATTACAGCCGTGAGCCACGGTGCCCGGCCCAAGTATGTGGATTTCTGAATTCTATTCCAGTGGTCTGCATGTCTGTTTTTATATGAATGCGATGCTGTTTTGGTTATGACAGTCTTATAGTATGTTTTGAAGTTGGATAATACGATGCCTCCAGCTTTTTTCTTTCTGCTCAGGATTGCTTTGTCTATTTGGGCTCTTTTTTTTTTTTTTTGCTCCATAAAGATTTTAGGATTGTTTTTTCTATTGCTGTGAAGAACGATGTTGGTATTTTGATAGGCATTGCACTGAATCTGTAGATTGCTCTGGGCAGTACGGTCATTTTAACAACATTCATTTTTCAGTCTGAGAGCGTGGGACCGCTCTCCATTCGTCTGCATCATCCTCAGTCTTCTCCATCAGTGTTTTGTAGTTTTCCTTGTGGAAACCTTTCCACTGATTGGCTAAGTGTATCCCTATATATTTTATTTTTTTATAGCTGTTGTAAACGGAATTATCTTTTTGATTTCTTTGTCAGCTGGTTCATTGTTGGTGTCTGGAAGCACTACTGACTTTTGTATGTTGATTTTATATCATGGAACCTTCCTGAATTTATTTACCAGATCTAATGATTTTTTAGTGGAGTCTTTAGGTTTTTCTAAATGTAAGATTATATCATCTTCAGAGAGGGACAATTTGACGTATTCTTTTCCTCTTCTTTTTTTGCCTTTTATTTCTTTCTCTTGCTGATTGCTCTAGCCAGGACTTCAAGTATTACGTTGAATAGAAGTGGTGAAAGTAATTATCCATGTCTTGTTCCAGATCTTAGAGGGGAGGCTTTCAACTTTTCCCCATTTGGCATGATGTTAGCTGTGGGTTTGCCATACATGGTCCTTACTATGTTAAGATACATTCCTTCTATGCAATTTTATTGAGAGTTTTCATCATAAAGGGATGTTGAATTTTATTAAATGCTTTTTTTTCTGTATCCATTGAGATGATCATGTGATTTTTGTCCTGCATTCTGTTGATGTGATTTACATCTTGATTTACATATGTCGAACCATCCTTACATTCCTGGGATAAATCCCACTTGATCATGATGTATTATCTTTTTCATGTGCTGTTGGATTCAGTTTGCTAGTATTTCATTGAGAATTTTTGTGTCTTTGTTCACCAGGGACACTGGCCTTATAGCCTTATTTTTTCTTTACATCTTTGTCTGGTTTCGGTATCAGGGTGATGCTGGCCTCGTAGAATGGGTTAGGGAGAATTCCCTCCTCTTAATTTTCTGGGAATAGTTTCAGGAGAAGTGGCATTATTTTTTCCTTTGAACATTTGGTTGAATTTGGTAGTGAAGCCGTCTGGTCCTGGACTTTTCTTAATTGGGAGACTTGATATTATAGAGTCAATCCCATTTCTTATTGTTGGGCTGTTCAGGTTTTCTCTTTCTTCCTGATTCAATCTTGGCAGGTTATATGCACCCAGGAATTTATCCATTTTCTCTAGGTTTTCCAGTTTGTTAGTGTGTATACTTATTTGATGATTATGGTTTAAGTGTAAGTGTAATCATGCAATAATTACATTAAAAAAAGCAATAATACTGGGGTGGGAAGGAAGAGTTGGGATGAGGTTGTTATTATAAAGTAATTGCATGGCTCATCAAGCAGTATAGTTTTATTTGAAAGAGGACTTTTATGTTAGTTGTAAATGTATATTGTGAACTCTAGGGTAATAAAGATATCTGTGTTGGACGTGCTCCCAGGCGTGTCCCAGCTCTCTACTGCTTTTATCTGTTTAAAAAAGTTTGAAGTTAGTAGCCAATCACATTTTAGTTTAGATTGTGGAGTCTGGCTCCAACCAACAGAGATCAGACACAGCAGTAAGGACGACCCCCAGATGTGTGAGTATAAATTTACGTTTTCCTTTATTCATCATACTCTCGTGGCACGATGGCTGGCGAGGGTCCCCTTCCTGCAGTCCAGAAGGTAAAAATTGCGTTGCTGAAAGATTCTTTGTCTCAATGCTAATTTTTCTTCATGGCACAGAGCACTGGCTTCCAACAGTCAGGGTATGGATAGGAAGGATTTCTCTAGCGCTTCTCAGTAGCTTTGCATGCTGCTTCACACATCGCATGCAACATTCGTATTTCAAATCGCTCCCTATAGGCGTGATTTTTAGCATGAAAATGAGGAAGGGGTAACAATAGTTGAAGTGTAAGTCTAACTGCACATGTGGGGGCCTGGGGAAGTTCCTAGGCCCCTAGAGCAGGAACTTGGGGTTCACAGCTTCTTGGGTCTTGGGCTATGGATTAGCTGGAAGTTCAGCTGTCCAACTTGAGGCAGGGACTTTGTTCTTTTTCCCTAAACCACATCAAAACAGGCAGGCAGCCAGTCTGCCCCTTTCTTTTTTTTTTTTTTTTTTTTTGAGACGGAGTTTCGCTCTTGTTACCCAGGCTGGAGTGCAATGGCGCAATCTCGGCTCACCGCAACCTCCGCCCCCTGGGTTCAGGCAATTCTCCTGCCTCAGCCTCCTGAGTAGCTGGGATTACAGGCACGCGCCACCGTGCCCAGCTAACTTTTTGTAATTTTTAGTAGAGACGGGGTTTCACCATGTTGACCAGGATGGTCTCGATCTGTTGACCTCGTGATCCACCCGCCTCGGCCTCCCAAAGTGCTGGGATTACACGCTTGAGCCACCGCACCCGGCCCAGTCTGCCCCTTTCTAAAGGAGAGGCTGGTAAGCGAGACCTGAAGATGCGGCCTCTGAGATGAAAGTGAGAGAACATGTGTCCTGGACAGTGAGTGAAGCGTGGGTAGCAGGAATGACAATCCATTCTGGTCTGCTGCCTGGAGGACGAGACTGCGACTCGCCCACTAACAATTTAGAGACCCCTGATCCCCTTCCCAAGAGCTTTTAGCGGAGTTGGTTGTGTTACGGGAAAAGGGTACTGATCCAGACCCCAAAAGAGGGTTCTTGGACCTCGTGCAAGAAATAATTTGGGCCAGTCCACAGAGTAAAGTGAAAGCAAGTTTATTAAGGCAGCGAAGGAATCAAAGAATGGCTACTCCACAGACAGGCCGGGTGTTGGCAAACGCACGAGGAGGAAGGCGTCCACCTGGGTACGACCCTTGTTTATAGGTAAGAGAACAGCCAAAACATCACCGGGCTCGCGCTGCCTGACGCCTGTCCTGCCCAAGCATCTACATCATCCTCTTTAAGGCGAAACTTCAACTCAGGATGCTTTTTGTTCCTAAGAAAGCAGCACATCAGGACCCAAGTCCCGGGTCTGCTGGGTAAACCTTATTAACCTGTTCTGCTGACCATAAACGCCAGAGGCCGAGGGCAAGGCAGGCTTAAACTCGGGCTCTTCTGGCAGGGCCTCCATCCCGGTCCCGTTCACCTGGCAGCAGCACCTGCGCAGGTACCGCGCCCACCATTCGTGGCACTTGGCATCTCCCCGCTCCCCCCCACCCCCCCCGCCTTATTTTTTGAGACGGAGTCTCGCTCTGTCGCCCAGGCTGGAGGGCAATGGCGCGATCTCGGCTCACTGCAACCTCCACCTCCTGGGTCCAAGCGATTCTCCTGCCTCAGCCTCCCGAGTAGCTGGGACTACGGGCGCGCGCCACCACGCCCGGCTAATTTTTGTATTTTTAGTTGAGACGTGGTTTCTCCATGTTGGCCAGGATGGTCTCGATCTTCTGACCTCGTGATCCGCCCGCCTCGGCCTCCCACAGTGCTGGGATTATTGGCGCGCGCGGCCGCGCCCGGCCTCTCTCTGGCACTTTTGACCAGAAAGGCCCTTCCTCGCGCAGGAAGCCGAGGCAAGGATCGCGCCGGAGGGGCTGTCGGGCCCCGAGCGGATCGCACGTCCGCAGCTCACCCCGCCCGAGGAGGAGCCAACGCACTGCCCAGACCGCAGCGCCGCCATGCTTGGGCCTGCGCCGACGGCGGTCATGACGGGGCATGCGCAGACGGCCGTGCCCGGAGCCATTGACCGGCCGGCTGGGCTCGGAGAGAAGCGGGTGCGCAGGCGCCGGGCGAGAGGCTGCGCTTGACCGCCCCTGGAGCGTGCGTGCGCGCGCGAGCCGGAAGGGGCGGTGCCTGGTGGCGCGGCGCCTGCGCAGTGGGGAGGGGCGCGGGGGAGGGGCGCGGCGGCTGTCAGCTGACTGTGGCGGCGGCGGCGGCGGCGGCCTCGAGGTGACAACCGTCCCCGTCGCAGGCTCCGGCGGGGGCGCAGGAGGTCGCCCGGCGCGTCATTGTCGGGTCGGCGAGGCCCAGGGCCGGCCGCAGCACCATGGCGACCACCGTCAGCACTCAGCGCGGGCCGGTGAGGCCGCAGGGCTAGGGTCGGGCGGGGGCGGCCACCTGCGGCGGGCGGGGCCTCGGGCCGGGGCTTCTGGTCAGCGACGGCGGGCAGGAGGGCTCCTTGGCTCTCCCAGGGCACGCTGGGCGCCCGGCCGGCCGGAGGGGAGCGGCGGCGTCGTCACTCGGGGCGGGGCGGGCCGGACGGATGCGCCCGCGCTGCGGGACGCTCGAACTCCCCGTCGCGCCCGGGCAGAGCGTTGGGGAGGCGGCCCCAGGTGAGGGGGCCTGCGCGCGGGGTGAGCCTCAGATGGAGGCGGCCCTGTGCCCCGTGGTTCCCCAGATGGAGGCGGCCCTGTGCCCCGTGGTCCCCCAGATGGAGGCGGCCCTGTGCCCCGTGGTTCCCCAGATGGAGGCGGCCCTGTGCCCCGTGGTTCCCCAGATGGAGGCGGCCCTGTGCCCCGTGGTTCCCCAGATGGAGGCGGCCCTGTGCCCCGTGGTTCCCCAGATGGAGGCGGCCCTGTGCCCCGTGGTTCCCCAGATGGAGGCGGCCCTGTGCCCCACGGTTCCCCAGATGGAGGCGGGCCCTGTGCCCCGTGGTCCCCCAGATGGAGGCGGCCCTGTGCCCCGTGGTCCCCCAGATGGAGGCGGCCCTGTGCCCCACGGTCCCCCAGATGGAGGCGGCCCTGTGCCCCACGGTTCCCCAGATGGAGGCGGCCCTGTGCCCCACGGTTCCCCAGATGGAGGCGGCCCTGTGCCCCACGGTTCCCCAGATGGAGGCGGCCCTGTGCCCCACGGTTCCCCAGGTGGAGGCGGCCCTGTGCCCCGTGGTTCCCCAGGTGGAGGCGGCCCTGTGCCCCTCGGTTCCCCAGATGGAGGCGGCCCTGTGCCCCGTGGTTCCCCAGATGAGGCGGCCCTGTGCCCCGTAGTTCCCCAGATGGAGGCGGCCCTGTGCCCCGTGGTTCCCCAGATGGAGGCGGCCCTGTGCCCCACGGTTCCCCAGATGGAGGCGGCCCTGTGCCCCGTGGTTCCCCAGATGGAGGCGGGCCCTGTGCCCCGTGGTCCCCCAGATGGAGGCGGCCCTGTGCCCCGGGGTCCCCCAGATGGAGGCGGCCCTGTGCCCCACGGTCCCCCAGATGGAGGCGGCCCTGTGCCCCACGGTTCCCCAGATGGAGGCGGCCCTGTGCCCCACGGTTCCCCAGATGGAGGCGGCCCTGTGCCCCACGGTTCCCCAGGTGGAGGCGGCCCTGTGCCCCGTGGTTCCCCAGGTGGAGGCGGCCCTGTGCCCCACGGTTCCCCAGATGGAGGCGGCCCTGTGCCCCGTGGTTCCCCAGATGGAGGCGGCCCTGTGCCCCGTGGTTCCCCAGATGGAGGCGGCCCTGTGCCCCGTGGTTCCCCAGGTGGAGGCGGCCCTGTGCCCCACGGTTCCCCAGATGGAGGCGGCCCTGTGCCCCGTGGTTCCCCAGATGGAGGCGGGCCCTGTGCCCCGTGGTCCCCCAGATGGAGGCGGCCCTGTGCCCCGTGGTCCCCCAGATGGAGGCGGCCCTGTGCCCCACGGTCCCCCAGATGGAGGCGGCCCTGTGCCCCACGGTTCCCCAGATGGAGGCGGCCCTGTGCCCCACGGTTCCCCAGATGGAGGCGGCCCTGTGCCCCACGGTTCCCCAGATGGAGGCGGCCCTGTGCCCCACGGTTCCCCAGGTGGAGGCGGCCCTGTGCCCCGTGGTTCCCCAGGTGGAGGCGGCCCTGTGCCCCACGGTTCCCCAGGTGGAGGCGGCCCTGTGCCCCGTGGTTCCCCAGGTGGAGGCGGCCCTGTGCCCCGTGGTTCCCCAGATGGAGGCGGCCCTGTGCCCCGTGGTTCCCCAGATGGAGGCGGCCCTGTGCCCCGTGGTTCCCCAGATGGAGGCGGCCCTGTGCCCCGTGGTTCCCCAGATGGAGGCGGCCCTGTGCCCCGTGGTTCCCCAGATGGAGGCGGCCCTGTGCCCCGTGGTTCCCCAGATGGAGGCGGCCCTGTGCCCCACGGTTCCCCAGATGGAGGCGGCCCTGTGCCCCGTGGTTCCCCAGATGGAGGCGGGCCCTGTGCCCCGTGGTCCCCCAGATGGAGGCGGCCCTGTGCCCCGTGGTCCCCCAGATGGAGGCGGCCCTGTGCCCCACGGTCCCCCAGATGGAGGCGGCCCTGTGCCCCACGGTTCCCCAGATGGAGGCGGCCCTGTGCCCCACGGTTCCCCAGATGGAGGCGGCCCTGTGCCCCACGGTTCCCCAGATGGAGGCGGCCCTGTGCCCCACGGTTCCCCAGGTGGAGGCGGCCCTGTGCCCCGTGGTTCCCCAGGTGGAGGCGGCCCTGTGCCCCACGGTTCCCCAGATGGAGGCGGCCCTGTGCCCCGTGGTTCCCCAGATGGAGGCGGCCCTGTGCCCCGTGGTTCCCCAGGTGGAGGCGGCCCTGTGCCCCACGGTTCCCCAGATGGAGGCGGCCCTGTGCCCCGTGGTCCCCCAGATGGAGGCGGCCCTGTGCCCCGTGGTCCCCCAGATGGAGGCGGCCCTGTGCCCCACGGTTCCCCAGATGGAGGCGGCCCTGTGCCCCACGGTTCCCCAGATGGAGGCGGCCCTGTGCCCCGTGGTTCCCCAGATGGAGGCGGCCCTGTGCCCCGTGGTTCCCCAGATGGAGGCGGCCCTGTGCCCCGTGGTTCCCCAGATGGAGGCGGCCCTGTGCCCCACGGTTCCCCAGGTGGAGGCGGCCCTGTGCCCCGTGGTTCCCCAGATGGAGGCGGCCCTGTGCCCCACGGTTCCCCAGATGGAGGCGGCCCTGTGCCCCACGGTTCCCCAGATGGAGGCGGCCCTGTGCCCCGTGGTTCCCAAGATGGAGGCGGCCCTGTGCCCCGTGGTTCCCCAGATGGAGGCGGCCCTGTGCCCCGTGGTCCCCCAGATGGAGGCGGCCCTGTGCCCCGTGGTCCCCCAGATGGAGGCGGCCCTGTGCCCCACGGTTCCCCAGATGGAGGCGGCCCTGTGCCCCACGGTTCCCCAGATGGAGGCGGCCCTGTGCCCCGTGGTTCCCAAGATGGAGGCGGCCCTGTGCCCCGTGGTTCCCCAGATGGAGGCGGCCCTGTGCCCCGTGGTCCCCCAGATGGAGGCGGCCCTGTGCCCCACGGTTCCCCAGATGGAGGCGGCCCTGTGCCCCACGGTTCCCCAGATGGAGGCGGCCCTGTGCCCCACGGTTCCCCAGATGGAGGCGGCCCTGTGCCCCACGGTTCCCCAGATGGAGGCGGCCCTGTGCCCCACGGTTCCCCAGATGGAGGCGGCCCTGTGCCCCGTGGTTCCCCAGATGGAGGCGGCCCTGTGCCCCACGGTTCCCCAGGTGGAGGCGGCCCTGTGCCCGATGGTTCCCCAGATGGAGGCGGCCCTTGCTCTAATGTCTCCCAAATGGTGGAGGGCCCCGCACCCTAATGGTCCCCCAGATGGAGGCGGCCCTGTGCCCCATGGTTCCCAGGCGGAGGCGGGCCCGCACCCTAATGGTCCCCGAGATGGGGGCAGCCCCTGCACCCTCATGGCCCCCGCGGTGGAGGTGGGCCTCCACTCTGGTTGGTCCCATGGATGGTGGCAGTTTCCTCCTTCCCCCTTACGCTACAGAGCAGTGGTGACCACTTCTTGGGCGCAGTTGTGTCCCCAGTTTCCCAGTTAGTGGCCGTGTAAAGCCTCAGTTTCTTCATTTGCAAATGAGAGGTTAGGTGCCAAGAATTCGTAAGAAACTTTCCTGCTCCTCATTCTCTCCTGAGGGTTGCCTGTCAGTTTCTATAGCATTCATATTGCAGGAGAGCTGCTGTAGATGGACTCAGAGACGATGGGCCCCTGGCGTGAGTGGGCTCCTGGCATGAGTGGGCTCCTGGTGTGAGTGGGTTCCCGGTGTGAGTGGGTTCCCGGTGTGAGTGGCCTCCTGGCGTGAGTGGGTTCCTGGCGTGAGTGGGCTCCTGGCGTGACTGCCTCCTGGCGTGAGTGCCTCCTGGCATGAGTGGGCTCCTGGTGTGAGTGCCTCCTGGTGTGAGTGCCTCCTGGCGTGAGTGGGCTCCTGGTGTGAGTGCCTCCTGGCATGAGTGGGCTTCTGGTGTGAGTGGGCTCCTGGTGTGACTGCCTCCTGGCATGAGTGGGCTCCTGGTGTGAGTGCCTCCTGGCGTGAGTGGGCTCTTGGCATGAGTGGGCTCCTGGTGTGAGTGCCTCCTGGCGTGAGTGGGCTCCTGGTGTGAGTGCCTCCTGGCGTGAGTGGGCTCCTCGTGTGAGTGCCTCCTAGCTCACTGTTAGGTTCTTTGTGCATTGCTGTAAAGAAATACCAGAGACTGGGTAATTTCCAAGATAGAAGTTTTAATCAGCTCTGAGTTCTGCAGACTACAGGTAGCATAGCGCAGGCATCTGCTCCTGGGGAGGCCTCTGGAAGCTTCCAGCCATGGCGGAAGATCAAGTGGGAGCCTGCGCGTCATATGGCGGAAGCAGTAAGAGAGTTGGGGGTGGGAGCTGCCACATACTTTTTAATGACCAGATCTCGTGAGAACTCACAGTCACCAGGACAGCACCGAGCCACAAGGGATCTGCCCCCGTGACCCACACCCCCCCCACCAGGCCCCGCCTCCAACACTGGGGATCACGATTCAGCGTGAGATTTGGCAGGACACAGATTTAAACTGTGTCACTCACTGAGGCTGGGCTGGGGCGGGCTGTTGGGAGCAGTCCAGTTTTTATCAACAGCGGCTCTAAACGTGCCGTGGGTGGAAAAAGTCCTTTTCCACTATGCTGTAGGGTCCCTGCACTCATGCAGCCGGTACTGGACATGGTGGAGGGTTCCCCGGGCTCCCCACAAGTCCTGCTGTTTCTCCTAATGAGAGAATTCTTCAGGCAGAACATTTTTTCTGAGTTTAGAATGAAGCCCCAGGTTTTGGGCACAGAGGATTTTTCTGAGGACTTTGAAGGAAATCTCCTAACACACAGGAGACTCAGGTGTGGAGCCTGTGGGTCAGCAGAGGTCCCGGACGGCATCTCTGGCGTGAGTGAGCTCCGCTTCGTCCTCAGTGCACCACAGCGAGTGCCTGCAGGCTGCTCTGAGTGAGGTGCTCCTTTCTGCCTCACTACAGGCTCATAGCAACAAGGGAACCAGCACCCCCTTTGTGTCCTGGAGAGTGGGGGGCACAGTGGCTGGGCAGGATGGCCGCTTCCTTACTGTGTGGTCAGGGAGGCGTCCTCAGCCCCCTGGGAACTTGTCCTCGTCTGGAACTGCACTGGGGTGTGGGACTGAGTTTGAATTCAGCAGGGGCTGAGCACCACGGAGCAGCTGGGAGGCAGGCCCTTCCTGTTGTGAGGTGCCCGCGATGAGGAAGTGGGAGTGGCGGTGTTCATACACGCGGGGCCTGTGCCGACACATACCGAGGTGTCGTCAGACTCTCCTCTTGCCTGGTGCCTCCTGGGCTGTTTCTATCCTTTGTAGACAAGCAGGTCTTTCAGGGGCACCCCCGTTGACCTGTAAACACCCAGTGACATCAGGTGTGGCTCAAGCTGCCAGGGTCTCCAGGAAGGTGTTGTCAGCACTGGGGGTCCAAGTGCTGTTTGGAGTGCGTGTGACTTAATCAACCAGCATTACTGACTGGTGTTTAGGACAGCCACAAAGGGCAGCCACAGTACAGGGGACAGCCAGGTGGTTCCTGCCATTGGGATCTCACAGGGCAGTGCATAAGGACAGTGGAACCACATGATGGCAGCTGGCAGGTCTGTTGATCTTAACTCCAGGGTCAGGTGCTGGGAGAGTTTGTAAACAGTGGCCTCACTGGGGCTGGATGTTGGGGTGAGGATGTGACACCTCATCTGAGCTTGGAGGAGGAATGTGAGTCGGGGGTGGGCCGAGAGGGGACTGCACAGAAAGAAGTGTGGAGTCTGGAGGTGGAGAGGAGGGAGCCCAGGGGCTGAGGATGGAGGGAGGTGGAGAGGAGGGCGCTTCAGGGGCCGAGAATGGAGGGAGGCCGGGGCTGGTGGCGGCAGGAGGGTCTTGGGCACAGGAAGGCTGGACTTGGCCCTGAGTTCATCAGGTCAGTGCAGCACTCTCTGTGAAGTGTTGCCCGCACATGCCCACTGCAGGGCCTGCCTTGGCTCTGGCCTGCCTCACCAAACATGACCCATCCAGCCCCTCTGGATGAGCTCATGCTGGGCCTCCGGCCAGTTATTAGCATCTGGAGGAACTCCTGCTTTTGCAGGACGTATTGACACGACATTTATCGTGTCTTCTTCTTTATCTTAACTCGTGGCGCCGGGGAGGCAGGAGGTTTGCAGGGTGCTTGGCTTTCCAGCACAAAGAGGTGCTTCCCAGGGCCCAGGGCAGGCTCTGGCTCAGGAGACCTTGACTGCAATCTACTCGCTGCCTCCACCTAGTGAAGGGGTGACAGCAAGGTCCCGTGGGTCGTGAAGGAGCAGAGGGGCTGCTCATGGGGGCCTGGGAGGGTTCTTTTGTCCTTGGGTAGAAGGAACTTCAGGGCCCAGCAGGTAGGTGTGGAGACGACCTATCGTTCTGAAAGAGTTCGTGCAGTGTTTGTATCTCCAGGATTGCGTTTCCCCGATAGCCACTGAGGGATGCTTCAGCCTGTGCAGCGTTTGCCTCACTTTTCAGAAATGCCAGTATTTTGGAAAGATAACCCTTTTTCAATACAGTCTGCACATTGTCAGAAAGCATCAGTGAGTGCCTGCAAGGAGTACTGTGCGGCCGCGCCTTCCCCAGTGAGGACCCGGGCAGTGAGAACTCCAGTGAGAACTCCGGGCCGGCGGCCGCGCCTTCCCCAGTGAGGACCCGGGCAGTGAGAACTCCAGTGAGAACTCCGGGCCGGCGGCCGCGCCTTCCCCAGTGAGGACCCGGGCAGTGAGAACTCCAGTGAGAACTCCGGGCTGGCGGCCGCGCCTTCCCCAGTGAGGACCCGGGCAGTGAGAACTCCAGTGAGAACTCCGGGCTGGTGGCTGTGCCTTCCCCAGTGAGGACCCGGGCAGTGAGAACTCCAGTGCGAACTCTGGGCTGGCGGCCGCGCCTTCCCCAGTGAGGACCCGGGCAGTGAGAACTCCAGTGCGAACTCTGGGCTGGCGGCCGCGCCTTCCCCAGTGAGGACCCGGGCAGTGAGAACTCCAGTGAGAACTCCGGGCCGGCGGCCGCGCCTTCCCCAGTGAGGACCCGGGCAGTGAGAACTCCAGTGAGAACTCCGGGCTGGTGGCTGTGCCTTCCCCAGTGAGGACCCGGGCAGTGAGAACTCCAGTGCGAACTCTGGGCTGGCGGCCCCGCCTTCTGCAGGGAGAACTCAGGGTGTTGGTGGGAGACTGCCTCAGCCGCTGCTGCGCGGGCAGCTGGAGAGGCCTGCTTGGTGGAGTAGAGGTGGGTGTGCTGTGCTGGATCCAGGCTGCTCCGACTCCTTGTCCTGCTTTCAGAGGTGCTGGCTGACCGTGGAGTCCAGCTGGGGGCGGCCGGCCCCTCCTCTCCTCCCTGAGAGGCCTCTGCCTGCCCGGGCTGCCCGCCTCTTCACTTCGTCGGTGATTCCTGCCGAATCAGTGACTTCACTAGGGATGGCAGAGGGCAGTCCCTGAACTTTATCATCTGTTCAGTGCTTAGTAACTGGGACTGTTTGTAGAGATAAAGCTTCCCATCAACCGGTGTCGGCCAGTTGTCCTGAAATAGAATTTGTGAAGGAAAGGCAAGCTAAATGCTTAGGGAGTCCTTCTCCCTTCCCTTCCCATACCTCAGGGAGAGTTGCTCTTCTTCGTAGGTGTGTGTAGGCTTTCTCTCCCCGAGCTTGTGAGGAGCCCATGGATTTTCCTGCATCCCGTGTGCCTCAGCCCGTGGCACTCACCCCTCTCTGCTGGCCCAGGTGGGCCTCGGGTGGGCTCTTCCTGGCGGGCATCCCTTCGCGCCGGCTACACCTGAGCCAGCGAGGGGTGCACTCACTGCCTGCTCAGGAGTCCTTGCTCTCTGGGCCCCTGTGAACGTCTGTGCTGGATTTTTGAAGCCGGGTTGTGAGTGTGTACAAGTATAGAATTGCTGTGTTTTCCTAGAAATGAGATCTTTTTGCTGTGTGAGGACCCACAGGCCTCTTGGAAAATAAAGGCCTTTGCCTTGAATTATTTTGTCTGATGCTGGCATGGCCTCTCCAGCTATCTTTTAGAGAGTATTCACCTAGTATTTTTTCCTTCTTTGATTTCACATTTTCCCTGAGAGTATGTTTGAGACAGGTGTATCACCCGCAGCACGTGGCTGGACTTTAGAGCCGTATTGAAGGAGTCTGAGTCCTGTGATGGGAGCGTCTGAGGAGCTTCATGTTTCTAGTTACAGGTGCCCAGGCGGGTACACACATTTACATTGTTTTAAATGTTTTCTTTTGTGCTTTTATCTGTCCTACATTTTCTTCTTTCTTTTTCTCTCATTGCCTTCTTTTAGATTTATTAAGCGAAGTTTTAAAAAATTGAGTTGTTTATGTCAAGTGCATACACACTGTACTTGGGAAGTACCAGAGCAGTCCTGGAAATGTTAACATGCAGACTTATCAGCTTCTACGCGAGGGAGTCGGAGCGAACTCTGGCCTCGGAGGCTGCTGGACTGAAATAGATAAACACGTTAATCATTGTCTGTCCGCCTCCTGGTCCACACGGAGCCCTCAGCCGCCCGTCCAGGCGCAGGTGCTGATGTGCCTTGTGTGGGTGCTGCCTGTCCTTGGGGCTCCCGCAGGAATCTGTCATTTCTATTCAGTCAGCACTGGTCCAGATTTCGTTCTGTGTTTATCTCTTTCTTTTTTCTATTTGGGATCGCTTTCCTTTACCTTCAGGTTCATTTTTTAGAAGTTTCTGTAGTGGCAAACTTGATGTTTGCTCGTAAATGCCTTTTCTTGGGTCTTGATGGCTGTTTTTTGCTGTGTTTGGAACTCCAGTGCCTCGAAGGTGGGGGCCGCCCCCTTCCTGGCTCCTGGGTGGCTGCTGAGCAGGTGGGGAATGGCCGTCCCATCCTCCAGCTTTCCTTCCTTTCTGCCTCTCTTTGCTGCCTTCTGAACATGCTGCTCTGGCCTGCCTCCCAGTTCACTTGAGGTCTTTTTTTTTTTTCTTTTTAGGCAGTCTTACCCTGTCGCCAGGCTGGAGTACAGTGGTGCGATCTCGGCTCACTGGAACCTCTGCCTCCCAGGTTCAAGCAATTTTCCTGCCTCAGCCTCCAGAGAAGCTGGGATTACAGGCATGTGGCACCACACCCAGTTAATTTTTGTGTTTTTATTAGAGTCACGGTTTCACCATGTTGGCCAGGCTGGTCTTGAACTCCTAGTTTCAAGTGATCCACCCACCTCGGCCTCCCAAAGTGCTGGAATTACAGGTGTGAGCCACTGCCCCCGGCCCCAACCTCTGTTCATCTGGGGCTCTAACACTGTCCCTTGACCTGCCAGACAGGCCCTGTAAACCTGCTGTGCAAGTGTTTCCTGTCCCTGAGTCACTGTCTCCAGATCCTGTGGGCCCTGTCCAGGCACCATGCTGCTAAGGCCTGCCCTGCCACCCTGCCACCCGGCCTTGCCCTGTGTCTCTGCACAGCACCTGCTGCCTTTCGCATGCAGTGTGACGTACTGTCTTTTTTCGCTGAAGTGAGGCACCACAGGAGCAGACTGAGCTCTGACCTGGGCGTGAACCTGATGGCAGCCGTCCCCTGTAGGACAGTGGCCTGGAGTGGGCCCCTTACACAGCCTTCAAGGCAGGGCCAGCCCATCAGACACAGGGAGGCTGGCGATGACCTGGGCTTCAGGTTCTCAGCTCTGTCTGGGCCGGCTGTGCCGTTCTATGCAGGTCCTGGGGTCCTGGGGCCCTGGCCGAGTGTAGGGTTCCCTTTTTGGCAGACACCCATACCTCACCCAAGAGGCTTGTCAGACTGTGCCTTCCACCCGTATCCCCAGGTCTTCTGACTAGTGGGATTTGTATCTGTTCTGTTGGATTCTCCTGTCCTTTTGGACACCAGCCCAGCCCAGCTCTTCCTGCTGTGGGTCCCAACTCTGAAGGTCACGTTGAATCATGGCTGTGTTAGGAGCTGGTGAAAGCCCAGGCCTGGGGTACAGGAAATATCTGTGTTGGGGCTGCCTTGGGCTGGCTTTGGGGCTTCAGGAGCCCTTGACGCTTGTTCTCCATGTGGGGTGGAGACTGACCCTGAGAGGCCAAAAGGTTTCCTTCTTGGGGGAGGAAACTCTTTAGATTTGACAGCTGTATGTGCCTCCCCAGCTCAGCTCTGCTGGGTTTTTTTGTTCATTACTATTTCATCGTCCCTGGGTTTTCTGGGTGTGTCCCCCAAGCGCGTGGATATGGAGTTCACGCAAGCCCAAGACACACATGTGAGCTGGGGCTGCTGTGAGGTGGAGGGGGCAGGCGCCCATGGGTGCCTTCATGTGGTTTCCCCAGCGCTGCTGTGTGACTCTGGCTGCAGAACTGAATGAGAACCGTTGACATTTTGTGATTGAATTCCACAAAACGCATTTAGCCATCGCCAATTATGTCAGTTTGCCGAAAGAATACCAAGCAGCCACTTAGAAGGTGTCTTCTCACATCGAGCAAAAGCTTCAGTGTGCTAAGGATATTTACTGCGTTTATTTAAGTTGTTTATTTGTACGTATGATTTGATAAAATTTGTGTAAGTAAATAAATTACACTCAGAGCTGCTCAGCACATAGTCATGACATGTTAGAAGCTTTTTAGTTTTTAATTGAACTTGCTTTAGTTACGCCAACCTGACATTAGAACTGAGACTCAGGAGAGCCATGCTTGCAGTGTTGACGTGCACAGTGCAGGTGCACAAGTGGCACACACAGACACAGACACAGTACCTCCTCAGCCCGTGCACAGTGCAGGTGCACACACAATGCACAGACAGTTCCTCCTCAGCCCATGCACAGTGCAGGTGCACACACAGCGCACACACAGACACAGACACAGTTCCTCCTCAGCCCGTGCACAGTGCAGGTGCACACATAGCGCACACACAGACACAGACACAGTTCCTCCTCAGCCCGTGCACAGTGCAGGTGCACACGTGATGCACAGACAGTTCCTCCTCAGCCCATGCACAGTGCAGGTGCACAAGCGGCACACACAGATACAGACACAGTACCTCCTCAGCCCGTGCACAGTGCAGGTGCCACACGATGCACAGAGAGTTCCTCCTCAGCCCATGCACAGTGCAGGTGCACAAGCGGCACACACACAGACACAGACAGTTCCTCCTCAGCCCGTGCACAGTGCAGGCGCACACATGGTGCACACACAGACACAGACAGTTCCTCCTCAGCCCGTGTACAGTGCAGGCGCACACATGGTGCACACACAGACACAGACACAGTTCCTCCTCAGCCCGTGCACAGTGCAGGCGCACACACAGACACAGTTCCTCCTCAGCCCGTGTACAATGCAGGTGCACACATGGTGCACACACAGACACACAGTTCCTCCTCAGCCCGTGCACAGTGCAGGCGCACACACGGCGCACACACAGACACAGACACAGTTCCTCCTCAGCCCGTGTACAGTGCAGGTGCACACATGGTGCACACACAGACACAGACACAGTTCCTCCTCAGCCCGTGCACAGTGCAGGTGCACACACGGCACACACACAGACACAGACACAGTTCCTCCTCAGCCCGTGTACAGTGCAGGTGCACACATGGTGCACACACAGACACACAGTTCCTCCTCAGCCCGTGCACAGTGCAGGCGCACACACAGACACAGACACAGTTCCTCCTCAGCTCATGCACAGTGCAGGCGCACACACAGACACAGACACAGTTCCTCCTCAGCCCGTGCACAGTGCAGGTGCACACATGGCGCACACACAGTACCTCTGCAGCCACACAGCCTCATGGGGCAGGGACAGTGAGAAGGTTTCACAAGGTTCCACAGAGGGCCAGTCAGGGTCATGGCTAGGAAACCCTGCCTTCCCGCTGCCCACATGTGGCCAGCCATGCTCTGGGGTGTCTGTGGCTGCAGCTCCTCAGGATGGTGCCCCCTTGTAGGACAGGCCAGGACTGCGTGTGTTCATGGCTCCATGTCCTGGGCTGTGTCGGGCAGCAGGTGTGAACACTGGCTCTTTAGATTGGAAACGTATTACTACCATGAATATTCACAGTGGGTGCTTGTTTAATTTGTGTGTTTAAAAAGAAAAGTTAGCTTTGGATTGACTGCAGACATTACATGATAGCAAAGAAGAATTAAGATTTTATTTCTGTGCCAAAACTAAAATTTAGACTTGAAGAGCAATTGTTTTAAATAGAAGTGCATTTTGGAGCCTTGTTTCTTTGATGGTGGAGAGGTGTGCTGTGGTAGTTGAGAGCCCTGGCGTCAGCAAGGGAGGAACGGCCGTCACACAGGCCTGTGTCGTGATCCACTGAGAGTGCCATGTGGGGAGGAGGATCAGCCCTTCCAAGAAATACGGAATTACATTTTAAACTGGATTTAGACGGACTAATGGTTATAAAAGTAGCTTTTATTTTCAGAGAAAAAACCCAGAGAGCTCCGTGGAATGAGAGTCCTACCCCGTCCATTTTATTTTAAAAGTAATTCACAAATGTGGTTTTAAAACCATTTCTAAAAGTAACCGGCAGGATATGAAAGTATACATAAATTAAAACAGGATCTTCCCTGCCCGTTTCCCTGGAGTTCCATTCCTGAGTGCGCCCCCAGAGTAGGTGTCGACCCAGGCCTCCTTATGGTTCCTGCAGCAGGTCGTGCTGCGCCTCTGCCTCCGCCTCCGCCTCCGTCCCCGTCCCCCGGTCTCCTCGTTTGTTCGTGTTCCGTGTTTTTGGCATGGACTGCCAGCTCCTGTTGGGGCCACGTGGCTCTGCGCTGGGTGGCTGTGCCTGGCTGGTGGATGGGGCGTTTTCACGGCACAGGTGGTGCGGCCGAGGCGTCCTGTGCTCACGTGCCTGAGTGAGCATTTCCATGGGACTGGTTCCTGAAGTGGAATTGTTGGCCTCACACAGGCATTAAACTTACTTGTTAGGGTTGAACTTGGTATGCTCAGCTTGTACCTGGAAGCAGAATCACAGGGAATATCCGTTGTGTGTCAGGAGTGATCATTCTTTCATATTCCAAGCCTCTGAGCCAGGGCAAAGCATGTGTTTTTATGTGACCATTGAAACGTTCCTCCATCGTAATATGGCAAGAATATATTTTAGGATTAGCACTGAATTTAAAAAACAAATTCAAAATAGATGTTTATTGAAGGACAGAGTCTCGTCCCTGAAACAGTAGGATTTGCTTCAGCCCCTGGCCTCCCTGTGGCTCTGGAGTGGTACCTGGTCTTGTTGACAGTGGTGGAACCGCTCCTGGTGCGAAGGGCGTGGCTGTCAGTGGAGAAACGGCATTGCAGCAGCGGCTGAGCGCCTCTTCCTGGCAGGCAGGGCGGCAGGTTGCATAGCCAGTGTTCCTACGGGGAGGACTGAGGCCTGCTCTGTCCTCTCTTGCTCTCTTTACCTGAAGTGAAATATTTTTTGATAAGCTTTTAATTTTGTGGTGCTCAGTTGAATGCGGAATTGAAAAGTTGGCATGAGAGGTCCTGTGTGTCTCAGCCACGTTCCCTGGCCGATGCTCCCCTCACCGGGAACGGCTCTCACAGCTGTGACGGTGACTGGGGACTTGACTGTTCGCTCCAGCTTCCATTTGGATGTCCTGGTTTTTCAGTGACTGTCCCCTGCTGCCTCCGGATCCCACCTTGCGTTTAACCATCGTGTCTCTGTCTCTCAGGCTTCCCTTGTGTTTTTGGGACCTTGATGGTCGGAAGAGGACCGACTGGTCAGGATTTTGTTGGATGTCTCTTCATTGGGGCACGGGTTTTGGGAAGAAAGCCCAGAGGTGAGGTGTGTGTCATCTCGGGGAGCTGGATGCACACCTGCCTGCTGCGTGCTGCTGGCTGTGGTCCCCGGGCTGCAGAGCAGACAAGTTGGTTCCACAGGGAGCTGCTTCTCCCCTTTCTGAGTTCTGTCCACACGGTTTATATTTGAAAACCCTCATTTCATATTTGTCATTTTGTGGTTAAATCCTTGTTGGAAAGTGATAGTCATGAGGCCTTTGGATATAATTTTATTTCCTCCCAGTAAAGAGTGGTCCCATTGTCCTTAATGGACATCTAAATTGTGCAGAGCAAGGAGACGGGGCGCTGGATGCCCACAAATGCCAAGACAGCCAGGAGCCAGAACAGTGAGGAACCCACAGCGCTCCCTCAGAGGCCTCTCCCGGACCCCGCGTCCACACAGCCCTATGACCACCCACACCCTCTCCCTGACTGGCTTCTCCATGTTGCTGTCTCCCAGACATGTGATGCCTGACTCTTCCTCACGTGTGCCCAGGAGCTTTCTGTCTGTCTCCCATATCTACCCAGGAGGACACAAGCTGCTTATCACTCCCCATGTGTGCCCAGGAGGACACAAGCTGCCTCAGTCCCCACATGTGCCCAGGAGCACACAAGCTGCCTGTTGGTCCCCACGCGTGTGCCCAGGAGGACATGAGCTTCCTGTCTGTCCCCATGTGTGCCCAGGAGGACACGAGCTTCCTGTCCATCCCCCATGTGTGCCCAGGGGGACACAAGCTGCATATCTGTTCCCCATGTGTGCCTAGGAGGACATCAGCATGCGTCCCGCACATGTGCCAAGGAGGACACGCACTTCCTGTCCATCCCGCATGTGTGCCCAGGAGAACACGAACTGCCTGTCCGACTCCACATGTGCCTAGAAGGCCACGAGCTGCCTGTCTGTCCCCCATGTGTGCCCAAGAGGCATGAAGCTATTCCTGCCGTGTCCCCAGAGCTGCATGCATGGTACGCAGGAGGCCATTGTCGCAGATAAACAGGAGTTTAGCCTGTGTACATTAATCACACAAACTTGGTTAGCACGAGTGTATTTCTGCAAGAGAACCTCTTTCTGGTGAGCAGAGGGAGCTAGTGATAGAGCCCATGAGCATGGGCTGTGCCAGGGCCCAATGAGGTTAGCAGGGAAGCGAGTGCTGCATGGCCAGGTGTCCAACAGGGAGAGAGCTCTGGACTGTGAATCCCTCTGGGAGACGGGCGAGGGGTCCTGGTCTTCTTTACCCCAGAATTTCCAGCACACCTACAGGAAGAGGGACTTCACTCCAGCACTTCCCATACACCTACAGGAACAGGGCCTCACCCCAGCACTTCCCATACACCTACAGGAACAGGGCTCACCCCAGCACTTCCCATACACTTACAGGAACAGGGCCTCACCCCAGCACTTCCTATACACCTACAGGAACAGGGCCTCACCCCAGCACTTCCCATACACCTACGGGAACAGGGCCTCACCCCAGCACTTCCCATACACCTACGGGAACAGGGCCTCACCCCAGCACTTCCCATACACCTACGGGAACAGGGCCTCACCCCAGCACTTCCTATACACCTACGGGAACGGGGCCTCACCCCAGCACTTCCTATACACCTACGGGAACAGGGCCTCACCCCAGCACTTCCCATACACCTACGGGAACAGGGCCTCACCCCAGCACTTCCCATACACCTACGGGAACAGGGCCTCACCCCAGCACTTCCTATACACCTACGGGAACGGGGCCTCACCCCAGCACTTCCTATACACCTACGGGAACAGGGCCTCACCCCAGCACTTCCTATACACCTACAGGAACGGGGCTCACCCCAGCACTTCCCATACACCTACAGGAACGGGGCCTCACCCCAGCACTTCCCATACACCTACAGGAACAGGGCCTCACCCCAGCACTTCCCATACACCTACGGGAACAGGGCCTCACCCCAGCACTTCCCATACACCTACAGGAACGGGGCCTCACCCCAGCACTTCCTATACACCTACAGGAAGAGGGCCTCACCCCAGCACTTCCTATACACCTACAGGAACAGGGCCTCACCCCAGCACTTCCTATACACCTACAGGAAGAGGGCCTCACCCCAGCACTTCCTATACACCTACAGGAACAGGGCCTCACCCCAGCACTTCCTATACACCTACAGGAAGAGGGCCTCACCCCAGCACTTCCTATACACCTACAGGAACAGGGCCTCACCCCAGCACTTCCTATACACCTACAGGAAGAGGGCCTCACCCCAGCACTTCCTATACACCTACAGGAACAGGGCCTCACCCCAGCACTTCCTATACACCTACAGGAAGAGGGCCTCACCCCAGCACTTCCTATACACCTACAGGAACAGGGCCTCACCCCAGCACTTCCTATACACCTACAGGAAGAGGGCCTCACCCCAGCACTTCCTATACACCTACAGGAACAGGGCCTCACCCCAGCACTTCCTATACACCTACAGGAAGAGGGCCTCACCCCAGCACTTCCTATACACCTACAGGAACAGGGCCTCACCCCAGCACTTCCTATACACCTACAGGAAGAGGGCCTCACCCCAGCACTTCCTATACACCTACAGGAACAGGGCCTCACCCCAGCACTTCCTATACACCTACAGGAAGAGGGCCTCACCCCAGCACTTCCTATACACCTACAGGAACAGGGCCTCACCCCAGCACTTCCTATACACCTACAGGAAGAGGGCCTCACCCCAGCACTTCCTATACACCTACAGGAACAGGGCCTCACCCCAGCACTTCCTATACACCTACAGGAAGAGGGCCTCACCCCAGCACTTCCTATACACCTACAGGAACAGGGCCTCACCCCAGCACTTCCTATACACCTACAGGAACAGGGCCTCACCCCAGCACTTCCTATACACCTACAGGAACAGGGCCTCACCCCAGCACTTCCTATACACCTACAGGAAGAGGGCCTCACCCCAGCACTTCCTATACACCTACAGGAACAGGGCCTCACCCCAGCACTTCCTATACACCTACAGGAACGGGGCCTCACCCCAGCACTTCCTATACACCTACAGGAACGGGGCCTCACCCCAGCACTTCCTATACACCTACAGGAACGGGGCCTCACCCCAGCACTTCCTATACACCTACAGGAACAGGGCCTCACCCCAGCACTTCCTATACACCTACAGGAAGAGGGCCTCACCCCAGCACTTCCTATACACCTACAGGAGGAGGGACTCACCCCAGCACTTCCTATACACCTACAGGAACGGGGCCTCACCCCAGCACTTCCTATACACCTACAGGAGGAGGGACTCACCCCAGCACTTCCTATACACCTACAGGAACGGGGCCTCACCCCAGCACTTCCTATACACCTACGGGAACAGGGGCTTCACCTCAGTGCTTCCTATACACCTACGGGAACAGGGCCTCACCCCAGCACTTCCTATACACCTACAGGAACAGGGCCTCACCCCAGCACTTCCTATACACCTACGGGAACAGGGCCTCACCCCAGCACTTCCCATACACCTACAGGAACAGGGCTCACCCCAGCACTTCCTATACACCTACAGGAACAGGGCTCTCCCCAGCACTTCCTATACACCTACGGGAACAGGGCTCACCCCAGCACTTCCTATACACCTACAGGAACAGGGCTCACCCGAGCACTTCCCATACACCTACAGGAACAGGGCCTCACACCAGCACTTCCCATACACCTACAGGAACAGGGCCTCACCCCAGCACTTCCTATACACCTACAGGAACAGGGCCTCACCCCAGCACTTCCTATACACCTACGGGAACAGGGCCTCACCCCAGCACTTCCTATACACCTACGGGAACGGGGCCTCACCCCAGCACTTCCTATACACCTACAGGAACAGGGCCTCACCCCAGCACTTCCTATACACCTACGGGAACAGGGCTCACCCCAGCACTTCCCATACACCTACAGGAACAGGGCTCACCCCAGCACTTCCCATACACCTACGGGAACAGGGCCTCACCCCAGCACTTCCCATACACCTACAGGAACAGGGCTCTCCCCAGCACTTCCCATACACCTACGGGAACAGGGCTCACCCCAGCACTTCCTATACACCTACAGGAACAGGGCTCACCCGAGCACTTCCCATACACCTACAGGAACAGGGCCTCACACCAGCACTTCCCATACACCTACAGGAACAGGGCCTCACCCCAGCACTTCCCATACACCTACAGGAACAGGGCCTCACCCCAGCACTTCCTATACACCTACAGGAACAGGGCCTCACCCCAGCACTTCCTATACACCTACAGGAACGGGGCCTCACCCCAGCACTTCCTATACACCTACGGGAACGGGGCCTCACCCCAGCACTTCCTATACACCTACAGGAACGGGGCCTCACCCCAGCACTTCCTATACACCTACGGGAACGGGGCCTCACCCCAGCACTTCCTATACACCTACGGGAACGGGCCTCACCCCAGCACTTCCTATACACCTACGGGAACAGGGCCTCACCCCAGCACTTCCTATACACCTACGGGAACGGGCCTCACCCCAGCACTTCCTATACACCTACGGGAACAGGGCCTCACCCCAGCACTTCCTATACACCTACAGGAACAGGGCCTCACCCCAGCACTTCCTATACACCTACAGGAACAGGGCCTCACCCCAGCACTTCCCATACACCTACAGGAACAGGGCCTCACCCCAGCACTTCCCATACACCTACAGGAAGAGGGCCTCACCCCAGCACTTCCTATACACCTACGGGAACAGGGCCTCACCCCAGCACTTCCTATACACCTACAGGAACAGGGCCTCACCCCAGCACTTCCTATACACCTACAGGAACAGGGCCTCACCCCAGCACTTCCTATACACCTACAGGAACGGGGCCTCACCCCAGCACTTCCTATACACCTACAGGAACAGGGCCTCACCCCAGCACTTCCTATACACCTACAGGAACGGGGCCTCACCCCAGCACTTCCTATACACCTACGGGAACAGGGCCTCACCCCAGCACTTCCTATACACCTACAGGAACAGGGCTCACCCCAGCACTTCCCATACACCTACAGGAACAGGGCCTCACCCCAGCACTTCCCATACACCTACAGGAACAGGGCCTCACCCCAGCACTTCCTATACACCTACGGGAACAGGGCCTCACCCCAGCACTTCCTATACACCTACAGGAACAGGGGCTTCACCTCAGTGCTTCCTATACACCTACGGGAACAGGGCCTCACCCCAGCACTTCCTATACACCTACAGGAATGGGGCTCACCCGAGCACTTCCTATACACCTACAGGAACAGGGCTCACCCCAGCACTTCCCATACACCTACAGGAACAGGGCCTCACCCCAGCACTTCCCATACACCTACAGGAAGAGGGCCTCACCCCAGCACTTCCTATACACCTACGGGAACAGGGCCTCACCCCAGCACTTCCTATACACCTACAGGAACAGGGGCTTCACCTCAGTGCTTCCTATGCACCTACAGGAAGAGGGCCTCACCCCAGCACTTCCCATACACCTACAGGAAGAGGGCCTCACCCCAGCACTTCCTATACACCTACGGGAACAGGGCCTCACCCCAGCACTTCCTATACACCTACAGGAACAGGGGCTTCACCTCAGTGCTTCCTATGCACCTACAGGAACACATGGTTGCCATCTCGTACCATGGGGCTTCTCAGGGTTCTTCTCAGGACACTCTGTCTGGGGAAGGCCAGCCTGGGACTCCTGGCAGCCACCGGCCTGGTGGGGGTTTCCTTCCCTCAGTGACCTCTGCACCCTTTTTGTTTGCCCATAAGGACAGGGGTCCCTCCTTTCCAGGCCCTGGCCTGTGTCACATTCTCCAGAGGTGAGGCCGGGGTGCTCTGCTGTACTCACACAGGATGGCTCCTCTCACGGGGTAAAGGCCACTTGTGACATGCCCCCGTGAAAAACAGGGTTAAGTGTGCAG